ATAGGTCTAGCGTTGTCGCGTTATTATAAATCCTTTGCAGATTTATAAACAGTAATTTGCTAAGAAATGCTTAAATTTATGTTAAAAAATAGCACGGAGGAAACAACAACTTGAAAGGGCAGAAGATCAGTTGTGCAAGTATGGCAGTGACCTGAACCTGACGAAGTCTCATATGATAAAAAAATATTACTGCTGTTGACCGGAAAAGTAGTAGAGAATGAACCGGGAATGACTTCCTTTAGCTGTCAGTTTAATAAGACGTTGACTTGGCTCACTTTGCTTACTGTAAAGAGTCAACAAAGGTTCTCACAGCGTTGAAGTTGAGGGCCAAATTGCTTTAGGAGCAAGCGAGGTTTTTGGAGCCGCCAGGAAATTCGCAACAGCCATCTCTAATGCCACGTCGAGAAAATTATGGTATGATTGCGTTATTCGCTTCGAAGGATCTCGCATGCGCTTGAAGTTTTAGATCTGACCAAACAAGATGACCATCGATTAGCTAGGATAAGCCAAAGGTGGCAAGTCGATGAACTCAACATCTGGCATAAGACCACATGCATTTTTTCAAGTACGCATTCTTCCCCTAGTAAAACAAAACAAAACAAAAGAAGACACTTTGTTTACCAACGACCACTTGTCAGATTACTCATCTTTCTGGTCAGAGCAGCACATCTGAAATGTAGGGATTCAGAGAAGTAGCAATCCTCCATACGCTGAGTCATACTGAATTTATGCGTCAGTAGAGAAGATTTTGAGGGTCTTTCATGAAGAACAATTCAAGGATATTTAATTACTTTGTCATATAAAAATTTTTGCCTTCTTGTTCTTGCGGACCAACGCAAAACTCCAATCGTTCTGTAGAATCATTTGCGAGAACTGCAAATGCAACTGGAAAAGATCTGTTACTTGGGCAATATTTTGAATGTATAAAATTCATAAAGCCTTGCTCCACCGGCTAGTCGTTTCTTTGGAACCCAGTTCTTGTCTGTATTGGATAGGTGCCCTACAGTGTTTTCGACTAGCTGTTGATGATCAAAGCAAAACGACGCCGTTAATGGTCATCTAAACGCCTTAGATGGGGTCGACAGACACTCAATGCGTCACGTCTCAGTTGTGCAGTCAGCTGACTGACCGCTCTCTGAACCGAAGGAAATTCCGGCGGCTAGACCACAAGAGTAGCCAATGAAGTGGAGCGAGGAAGACATGCATGGTGTGAGGTATTTTAACTCGCCTATGAGTTATTTTCACTGACAGAAAGGCACATGGGCATTGCGGAGAAAAGTTGGCCGCGACAGGTCCCGCTGGTGTCTCGTTGTTTGTGCGATGTTCGTTCAGAGACGCACTTTCTCCCAGTGACAGTGTAACAATTTCGTGCGCCAGAATATTCTTGAAGAAAGTCAACCGGTACCCGGTTTGCAGCAGAGCACTTGCTCATCGGTTTTTCGGACGTCAGTAAAAGTTTCATGATTCATGGGAGTGTCGCGAGCGGCCTACATATGGTCAATGGGGATGAGGGACGGTGAAATGCGCTGGCCTGGCCGAACATCGACCGCATCGCGCGCTGCCTGTACCCGGGATCCGGCACGACGGATCACAGCAACCACCGGGCACCCGGTTCGACGTGACCCTGCTGACGGTCTCTCGAATGGAAATGACCCAGATGAGCAGCCTCAGCCGGCAGTCGGCAGCCGGCAGGCCGCACAGCCACTGATTTAGACGTACGTCAGATGGCAGCGAGGTTTTTTGAGGATGGCCGACTGCTGGGATCTTGATTTCGGTATGTGGTGCAAGAAATTAAGGGTAAGGAGGTTGAGGAGGCAGCGCTGTCGCATGTCCACGGCTGACACACATCGGCGGCGGTGACATGCGTTGCGCACTACATAATTTTCGTGTTCGTGTTGGAAAAAGTAGCGCACTGCCATTTAGAAAGTTATGTGTAGATGGGTGACGATGTGGGTCAGTAAAAGAGCCGTCGGCGCCGAGTCATTATCACGCATCACCGGCACCAGCACTTTGCTTTCATTTGTTTTCGCGACGCCACATGTCGCCTCGCGCCGCCGTCCGTCACAGCCACCGTCACCCATCAACCACCTCCT